TACCGGCACTAATATAAAATATCTATCGGAAATTAAATATAATAATAGAGAGCGAAGCTGAAAATAAACAAATATCTGTATAACGATGATTTAATATTAGTTCACTTGGTTAATTTGACATTAGATTTATATTTAATTTAGTAAGGATATAAGGCAAAGATGTTCGATTCCATCATTGAAGAAGTTTTCTTAAAAATTTTGTTGTTTTTATTAAAATGCTTGAGAGATGCGTTTTATAGGAGACCTCCGTAGATATACAGATTTTGCAGTAATTTGTTTAATAAGAATAAAAATTTGCTCATTATCTGTTGGATAGTTCCAATGATTGTCGGCTAAGTGTTAAAAGCCGCTATCGAGTAAGATTAGACTTTTCTTGTAAAATTACCACTAATAATTCGTGCCCTTGAGCCAACGGGATTTTTGTCTTCAGCGTGTATAATCCAGTGTTTAACAAAGGCAATCGTCATCATATTGGAAAAATTTATTCGGCAATGAGGGAAAGTGTGTGAGCGCGTGTGCATAAGTTGACAAACACGCGTTCGAGTTGACAAAATTTCGTATGCCATCTCTAACGATGACGTTCAAGAGGATACAGTGGGTCCTCGGCATCGACTCTTAATCGCCGCCATCGACACAAATAAAATAAGCTAAAACGGCTTAAGGGGCGGTCGATGGGTCGGTCGTACGACCAAGAGCGGGGGATTCAAGTGAAGGGCGAGCCGCGTTCAAACAAAAATCGAATAGCCCGCGTTGCTCATAGCAATGCACGCCGGGCCGATAGAAGACGCTGATAGAAGACCTTGCCCGAGGACCAATGAAATCGTGTGTAGTCGCGCACACGGCACACGAACATCTTCCTCTCTGTCTGCGGTAGAGGCAGCGGCTCACGTCCCAAACAGTAGAGCAAGAGGCTGATTACGGATCTTACGCAGCTTAAACGGCTCTATTCTTTCGTTTCTCGGTGGTGTCGGTCCCGACTCTTAAATCACGGCCCCCACGCAAATTATTAAGTGCTTCACTAACTAGCGGCTAAGTCGTCTCGGCGAGTCTTTCGAAGCTACTGGACGACCATACCTTATACGTCATTTTAAACCGACAGCCCCTTTTTCGATCGTTCACGGCGAGGTCCGTACCTGAGCTGGACGGCAACCAAGGTGCACGACACATCACCAACAGCGCGATCAATTCCAACTTCCCGAGGGATTCTTATTTACGGATAAGCCCTTGAGTACATAATTTTGGCCTAGCACCGCCGCCCGAGGCAAATCTCCAGTTAACCGCGGAGTTACAGCACCAGGACGTCGTCGTCGTCGTCGTCGTCGTCGTCGTCGTCGTCGTCGTCGTCGTCGTCGTCGTCGTCGTCGTCGTCGTCGTCGTCGTCGTCGTCGTCGTCGTCGTCGTCGTCGTCGTCGTCGTCGTCGTCGTCGTCGTCGTCGTCGTCGTCGTCGTCGTCGTCGTCGTTGTTCTTCTTCTTCTTCTCCTCCCCGACCTTGTCCTCGTCGACCTCCTCCTCCTCGTCCTCGTCGTCGTCGTCGTCATTGCCGACAATAACGACGACAGAGCAATATCGTGGCTTGCTCGCCCATATCCCCGCCTTCTATATATATATATATATATATATATATATATAAATATTTTTTTTTTTTTTTTTTTTTTTTTTTTTTTTTTAAGTCTCGACCCTATACAGGGAAAAGCAAGAGTTCGACCCAGTTTACCAGGAAAATCGCGTGCGCGAGATTATCATTATTATTATTATTCGCCGAGGATGTACGGCGGTTGTTTGTTTTCGTCGAATTTTCTTCTTATCGACAAAACAGCGGCCCCTACCTCGTTTTCCATCTTTCTCTACACTCCACTTTATACGTTTTCCGGCCGCCTAGTAGCCGCCTTGCATCTTCTCCTACCCCGCAAAAGCTGCGTGATCCCTGCTGCTGCCTGCCGGTCGAGAGACCGTTTAAGCTCCCCCGAGTTTTTCATCGTCTGACCATTCGAAAGCTCGTGAATCTCTGACATATTATGCCGGTCATCGATTTGCGCGCGATTGTTCCAATTATTATTATTTATGTCGCGTGTTATACGCTTCTCTCACTCACTCACTCACTCACTCACTCACTCACTCACTCATTCACTTACTCACTCACTCACCTTCGTGTTTTTAACGCCAACCTGCTCCCTATTTTAATGTTTTTCCACTCTAAATCACTAATGTATCTCTGTAGTTGACGGTTTTATAATGAACGTCCCAGTTACATTTCAGAACAGTCAAAATGACGGACCGCAAAGCAGTTATTAAGAATGCTGATATGTCAGAGGAAATGCAGCAAGATGCAGTGGATAGTGCAACCCAAGCTTTGGAAAAATTCAATATTGAAAAGGTGAGCTTTCTTTTTATTTGGATCGATGCTCTAAAATGTTGCACTCGGATCTGCCGGTTTATCGTCTATCTTTTACCATCTTTTGATTAACAGGATATCGCTGCCTTCATTAAAAAGGAATTTGACAAAAAGTACAATCCGACATGGCATTGCATCGTTGGACGAAATTTTGGCAGTTATGTGACGCACGAGACAAGACACTTTATTTACTTTTATTTAGGTCAAGTGGCGATTCTTCTATTCAAAAGCGGATAAGCTACTCAAAATTTTCATAAAGCCTCTGTACTCTTTCTCTTTTCTATCTTTCACACTTTCCATCTCAAACCATGCTCATTTTTTTTTTCCTCTAAAACGCCCCCTTCTCCCCACCCACCCGCCTTTCTCTCTCTTTCCCCATTTTCTCTAACCTTCTAGTCTACGATCTTGTCTGTTCTCAACCCTATGAAAGACCTTAATTACAAATAAATCCCAGTAGCCAAATCCTTGATCTTATTGTTTTATGTGACAGAATACAAAATATAAAGTAGTAAGAGAGATGCAATTCGTCGCTTCATGGATTAAGGGTAATTAATTGAATGAAGGAAGGATAAATACAAAGACGTACCGATTAAGACTGTTTTACATAAGGTAGCGGTAGAGCAGATGCATAAGAGAAAAGAGTTAGATGTAGAGGTGTGCAAAAGGAAATGGAATGATATAATGACATACCAGTTTACATGTTGAAATGTATTTGCGTATGCCAAAAGCTTGTTGTGTTCTTGTTTATTATATTAGGCATATTCGCGTGCATAAGGTTGGGTTTGGCACTGGCGCTGTTTTAATAATCTAATTATTAGTGTAACTAATTCAAAATGTGTGCAGTGAATCCACCATTTATCTTTAAGAAAATGTTTGGTTTTCATATTTTAAAGCAAGCCGACAACAAATTCACCATTTTCTCTTTGTTTCAAAGATTTTTGTTATTTGATGATACTGCATTTGATAGAATAATTATATGAAGAAATGCAAATTTTTTAAATAAAAGGTACCATCCTTTTTTAATGAATTTTTTTTCTATTTATTCCATTCTTATTAACCATGCGAAATTCAGAGAATATACTTATATAATACATCTATTGATTTATTATTCTATTATAACAATGCTATTGAAAAAAAAAAAAAAAAAAAACGTAATACTTTTTTATAATATTTTGTTCTTAATCGTTTTAATCTGAAATATTTATATCTTCATCTTTGAAAATATAACGACCATCACAAATATTAATAAACGGAATTATCAGTATGCATGTATGTGCTTTTGTATATGTGGTATATGAAAACACGTACATTGCCTACTTAGAAATATATGATCAAATTTATCTGCAAACTACTTATCGTTGTGAATATGTACGACGGCAAAAAATTTAATCTCTCCTTAATTCCAATGTATAAAATCAAATTTGTTGGTATGATAGAAGAAGAAAAAAAAAATCATTGTAATTAATCTATCTTAAGAAAATGAAAAATTATTTGTTACAAGTTGGTTTTTTCGTCGTCGCCAACTTGAACAGGACTTTTTTTCTTTCGTTTTTTCGTTTTTTCTTTTACAATTCGAGACACTCGGTCGAATAAACCGAGACAACAGAAAAAGTAATTTTTTTTTTTTTTTTTTTTTTTTTTTTTTTTTTTTTTTTTTTTTTTTAAATATTTCAAATATTTTCATTTGAATCCAAAGTAAAGTCCATTGAGTTTTCACCCGTTTTATGTAAATGAAAAATCGTGAAATTAGTTGGAATTTGAGAGCTATGCAAAGTTGCCTTCTCTCCTTTTCTAAAAGTTCTTTATACATTTGCTTGTGCGCAATTCTCTTTTTTGAGAATAATAGCATGTGCACGGGTGTACTGTGTATGTTAATAAAATAAACAATATGAAGGGAAAGTAAATCAAGTATTTGCTTGTTGCCTTACATTTTGAGAATATTCCAATTTTACGTATACTACAATATCCTTGAATTAATTATTAGCTAATAATACCCGTGAATATTCTGCGAATTATTGAATGCATATGAATATTATGTAGCTATTGATTAATTTTTTTCCTTTATACAATTCATTCGCGAAAATAAGAGAAAAAAAAATTATTTAGCATTTTTTTTTTTTATTATGTTACTTAATGCTGATCGTTACTTTTATTGGTACATTAACGAAGTTAATGCGAAGTTGATTTAATAAAATTCGGAATATAATTCCCCGTTTTACAATCTATGTAATGATTGCAAAATCTTAGGCTACAAAGAATCGTCAAATATTAATATACAATTTATATCACCATATTTATAAATTTATTTTTACAATAATATGAATTGAGAAAAAAAATTAATAAATAATTGATTAAATATGGGCCATTTTCACTGTTCTTTTATGCTCTTAAAAAAAAAAAAAAAAAAAAAAAAAAAAAAAAAAAAAAAAAAAGAATAAATAAATAAAAGGAAAAAAAATTTGAAATAGATTATAAAGTATAAACAAAAGGTGATTATAAAAATTGTACATATTTATTTGAGAAATGCTAAATTTATATTAACTATGGCTCACAACTAAATTAGTCAGTTATAGTTTATATAAAATGAATGATTTTGTAACAATTATTGTCAAAGGGTTTAGTTAATGGGAATACATTATTACAATAAATATTATTGTAGATGACGTGATAGTAAGAAGTATTACATATAAAATTTTTAAATTTGATCTTTACTGCTGTATAGTGAGTTGTGACGGACATTTGACCACACCTTGTAATACGTGGTGAAATATAAGATTGTACTGAGTTTTACTCAATCGTTTATAAGAAAAGAATTTTTTCACGATTAAAGCTGAACAAAAAAACGTAACTCAGCATTTAAATTTGATTATCACAATAAATATGTATTAAAATAGCTCAACTTACGGCTTTGGTATATTTTCTTTTAACACAATAGTCGTTTCGACATATAATGAATTTATTTACTTACAACAACAAAAATAATAATGAAAGCATTATGATTTATTTATACAAAATTAGGGCTACCGATAATTACTAGTCGAAAATGATTGTAAAATTTCGCCTCCAATTTCCTAAAGTCAGAGTTTGTTAAATTTATGAAAGTGACTTAATAATTTCTGTAATTTATAAAATCGTACACTTTTAATTATATGTCATTACTAACATCAACTATTAATTTAAAAGCGTATCTTAAATTTATAAAAATATGTAATGAACTTAAAGAAAATTGCATTGAATAAATTATATATCACTTTGAATTTACTTTTTGTTTCTTTTTTAAACTGCTACAAATTTCTAAAAGCGACAATTAAGATTTAATAAAGAAAAAATAGAGTGAAAGATAGACACGTCGAGACCGCGAGCTTAGGCGTCGATAGATTGTACAAGTAAAAATTATTTTCGGAATCACTTTTGAGGGTTCGTTATCTAAAGATAAGAATTGTCCCGTCGGATGCCCTATAATGTGAGAAATTAAAAGAAGCGTCTTGATTGTATAGAATTTTATTTAAAACATAAATAGCTTAAAACGCTTTGAAAGGTACATTGTCGATAATAATAATTCTTAAGAAACAAAATACTCGGATACGTTCACTACCAACAAGTCACGAAAAATTGTTAAATTATTTATAGGCTCGTATTGCAATTACGTTTCATGTCATTTTTATATTATCATTAATTTTACGAAAAAATTAATATTTAAAATCATAAATATACAACTAAATTAAAAACGGGTATTCGAATAAAATCAAATAGCATTTAAAAATGTTATTGGAAAAATTACAACTTTTCTTTTAATTAAACCTTGAGTTGGAAGTGCAAGTTCGTTTGTATAAAGTAAAATAATAATTGGGCAGAAAAAATCATGTTTAATGTATAAGAAATATTTTATGCATTTTATGATTATATTATAACTATATTATAAAAGATCGTATGAAACTGCACTATGAAATTATTTTAGTCTACGAGAGTATTTTCAGTGACGATAAATGTCTTGAAACGCGTTAAATTAGTTTTACTTATTAAATCTCATATTTTTCTCGATAGCGTTCGACCATTACTAGTAAAATTGTATTAATATTTTATTTTTTACTAAAGTCCTTTTGATAACAAGCACATATATTATTTTTTAGCGAGCAAATATGTGAACGAAGATCTTTATCAAATTTATATCAAATGACGAGTACTTGGAAATTACGTTTGTAGGAATTAGATTTTCATGACTGAGAGCGTAATTTAACGGTCTGGAGTATTATGTATCGTGCATTCTCTTTGTTTTGTGTGCGCGTTTGTACGTGCGTGCATGCATGTGATTAATAAAAATTTTTTATTCATTAGTTTGTTATTGACAAATGAACTCGCGTGGGCATCAGCATCCGGCATATTGAAAAAAAATAATCGAGGAATTATTATGGATTATTTTTAGTTGCTGGGGCAGGCATGTCCATTATTTTCCGCAATAACATAGAAATGCGGAGAGGGACGGTTCACGAGCTCGTGAACGGAATAGTTAAAAGGCTGACTCACCACCAGGTTGACTGTAATAGGTGTTCCCTCGAGCAGCTACAACGACTCTAAGGACAGTTAAGATATTGAATCGGATCTATAATAGTCAATCGACTAGATTAATACACCTTTATCCAACATCTCGTTTCCATTGTCCTTATTCAGTCATTTAATAGCAACGAATGTTCCAATAAAATAGAAAATTATATTTCTTATTCATAAATGTAATTGAAAGTTTGTTAAAATTAAAAAGTATGCACAGAATATATTTCATTAGATATTCATATTCAAATTTTTATATTAGACATTTTTTAACTTATTGTGTAATTATATAGATAAATTGATCTTGATATGATTATTATTTTTGTTTGAGATCATTTTTCAATGTAAAGGTTTATGTATATTATAAGTTTTTGCAGGTTCGAAAGTGTTTCTACTGTATGTGATATAGACTCAAATATATTATTAATAATCGTTTTCAAGAAGCGCAAAAATATTTTATACATAATTAAGCCAATAATTTAAATATAATTTTAATCTATTGGTATTGTTTTTCTATAGAACTATGATATTTGATATTTTCATACAAATTTTCCATTTCTTTAGTAAGTTAAAATTCATTTATATGCGTATAGAATTTTTGTTTTCGATGTAAAAGAGCAGCTGGTATTGTTTTTACGTTTTTGTAAATGAATTTGGAAGCTTGATTATTTTATTATTATTTTATCACAAGAAAAATGTTTTTGCGGATCGATTCTTAAAGTCGCGTGGATATGAGAAGGGTGACCGTCGCTAATTAAAGAAATATTAATTAATTAATTGTATATATTTCATTAATATCGTGAGTTCTTTGCATTAATGTTTATTCTATAACAAGGAGAGTAATGTCCTATAATAATTAATAAGGGTCATGCTATATTAATCACATATGTATATTAGATTATTTCTATAAAATAAATTACAGTACTTTATCTTTATATTTAATTACTTGTAAATGTGAATTAAATAGATATTTAAGAAATATCTATTCTGATTTTAATTTAGGAACTGAATCCGAATAAACGGAAGTGATAGGAATAAAGCTTTTAAAACTGACATACAATTTTAAATTCCCGGAATTATATTCAAATGCTGAAGGTGATTTAGAGTTAACACGTTGGAAGTTGGAAAGTTCCTTTTTTTCTTACTTATTTTAATTATTTCTTAATAGCATTTAACATTGAAGAAGTGAAGAAGGTGAAGAGCAAGTGCTACAACATATTATTAGTTTCGATTATATGTAGAGCTGGTTTCTTTAGTTAATTTCTAATAGTTTTTCTGCAAATTGGCCTGTCCGTAAAATCGACAATATTTATATTTCATTGATATTTACTTGTTTGATTTTACGAATACGGATTTTTTAGATAAATTTTTGTACGATTTAAATGTTCGAAAGTGCTCGATTTCATTATACACGATTAAAGATAATTTTTTTTTTTTTTTTTTTTTTTTTTTTTTTTTTTTTTTGACTGACCAATTAAATTTCATATTTTCGAGGCTCCTATGCCTTTAACGTACATTTTGTTGTATGCTTTAGCTGTACTATATGCATATATATATATATATATACACACACACATATATATATATATATATTTATTTATTTAAACCTTTCAATTATTACAATGTTTAGTAATGCACTATACTCGTGGTTAATTTAATTCAAACTTGTGGAATTTGCAATTGCAAACACCCATTGGTAAACCATCGATAAATGGGTTTATATTATTGTAGGAAACCTTATATGCTCGTACCTGCTTTCTTTCATCACGCGCTTATAGTTTTATTAATATATATATATATATATATATATATATATATATATATATATATATACGTACGCACGCGCTATAAACTATACATTTGTATGCGCATAATATAGTGTATACTATGAACGTGTGAAATTTATGCATTGCAATTTCATTCGGTAAGATAAACTGTAAAATATATCTACTTATTTCAGATAAAGTTAGTCAGGTTGTTGTGTGTTGGTTATAAGGTAATATAGCATTTATAAAATATAGCAAATAAACAAGAATATAGGTTATCCATTTGTCGTTTTGTAGCTTAGCATTTTAGAAGAAAATCTAAGCATATCGTTAATATTCAAATGATGGCAGATATAGATAATACAGCAGATTTTAAAAAAGATTCCAATGGAAGAAACATTGAAACAGTTTATTGTGCTTATTGCTCTTCGAAAATACTTAATCCAGGATCGGCAACTTTTATAAATATGAACGTGTGTATTAAAAATTTACTATCAAAATTATTATTAAAAAAATTATTTTTCTGTGATGTCCCATTTATATTTAAAATATTTGTTATAAATTTTTAGTTTTCTTTGCCTCATATGATCCGCAGGCGAGATGAAGAAGCTGAAAAAAGGGAGCTAATAAACGATTATTGGTTAGTCGAAGAGATCAATAGCTTTGAAAATATTGGTGTGTCTCATAAAGTGGAAAATGTCAAATATTTGGCGTGTGCAGATTGTGAAAGAGGCCCCATCGGATGGCATGACTTATCCACATTCCGTTCATACATAGCATTATGTAGGGTTAAGCATCAAAAATCCAACTGCTAGATGTAAAATGTTAATCTTAAATTGCAAAGTTTATTTTCATCTATACGAATAATTATTTTGTACTAATGAACACCATTGTGCCATTGTATGTGCAATTTTTTATGAATCGTCAAGAATTTTATGATTTGTAATATGCTTGATCTTGATTTTCAAAAAGTATACATGTTAATGGATATTTTCTTAAATTAACAATAATCATCTATTATATTATATATATACACACATACACACACACACACATATATATATACATACACATACATATTTTTTTTAGAAATTTCATAGATAATTGAATTTTTTTATAATATTTATCAGCTATTATGTTGGAACTTGAATGCATTTGGCGAATATACGCACATAATAGTTATAAGTTTAATATTTGCTAAAAATTCATATGTAAAATTTTTTTAGTGTAAGTTAAAAAAATTCAATGTCATTTTAGCCTATGTAAATTATAAGCATATGGTAAAAAAAATAATTGCGTTAATTCGTCTTTTTCTGAACATTCATATAATTACAACGATATATTTAGACTTAAGTTTGCTTAATATTTTATACTTACAAGATTATTAAAGTAAATGAAAATCATTCGGATAGAAGATCTTAAGATCAGCTGTACATCCATGGATGTGAAAAGGAAAAGACAGTAATCGAAGTAAATCATGTTTATATTTATTTCTATATGTATAAATATACATTCAAATAATATATTTACAGATTGGATAATGTCAATTAATTTGTTATTGCATACTTAGTCTGAAATTCATTCATCTAAATAATGGATTTAATAAATAATTACTTGCATTGCCAAACATGTTCAAATCTTTAGTCAAGATGGTCATAAAAAAAAAAGAGAAAAAAAAGAGAAAAAAAAAAAAAAAAAAAGCACTAATAAATAAATAAAATATGTTCATTGCTTTGTAATCCAATCTGATGAATGATGAGTTCTTAAGAGTAGCGAAAGCATTATTGAAAAACACACTTTCAGAAGTATCACTGTAAGGGAACAAAAGTTTGTTTTTTCTGAAATACAAATTCAGTAGTCTTGCACAGAATCGTAGTTGTAGGACGGTTGATCGGGTCGATTTTCAGGAATTCTATATTTCTCTTCTGGTTGATCAACATCTTCTTCATACTTGACTTGTGCAAAATACATATTATAATCGGGATAATCTGAAAAAGAAAGGATCAATGATCAGACCGAGTGGTGACTGCGTTATACGACGATAAGGGACATAACATAGGAAATAGGAGAAGTGACCGACCGGTACTACATCGATTAAAAAGACTAAAATGTGGTCATTGATACATGAAATGAATGAGAATACAGATAAGACTGACCATCGAGTGGTTCCTCCTTGATCCTGATGTCTTTGACATCCTCGTCGGGTCTCTCGATCCTGTCCGGGCGCTCCTTCCGATCACGTCGGTCACGGTCACGGTCACGCTCTCGCTTGTCTCTTCTGCGCTCGCGCTCGGCAACTCGTTCTCTCTCGATGCTTCTGGATCTTCTGCGCTTGCGATCGCGCTCTCGCTCTCGTTCCCGGTCGCGCTCGCGCCTGTCGCGCGGCCTCTCGAGCTCCTCGATCTCGGGCTCGGGCAGCCGCTCGCGACTACGACGCCGCTTGCGCTCGCGCGACCGACTCCTCGAGCGCCGCTTCCGCTCCCGTGACCGTCTGCGCTCACGATCAAGGCGCTCCCTCTCCCTATCGGACCAAACAATAACACAGCACCCGACCCGTTAAAGTATCGACTGTCCGAGGAACGTCTTGATGCGGACTCCTACCGAGCCCCTACGTAACTCACCTGTCTCGGTCAACACCCCGGATGGCCTCGCGCTCGCGCTCCACCCTGTAGCGCTCGCGCTCCCGCTCGTTATCCTCGCGGCCCGAGTGCTTGATATTGACGTCGGGGCCGCCGCGCCTGGTACCACCGAGTCCGCCGCCGAGTCTTCGCGGCAACCAGCCTTTAACGGTCCTTGCCCTCTCAACGTCCACCAAAACTCGACGACCATCTATTTTCTTACCATCGGCATGCTTATAAGCGGCTAAAACGGTACCAATGTTCCACTGTAATTTTCATCCGAGGCCGCGCTCGCTAGCTACTTCGGGCCTTGTTTATTATAAACAATGCATATACATATACACAAAAATACACACATGCGCACGCACGCACACACTCACTCGCGCCAATGCCCATTCATAAACACGCGCGCGCGCGCGCGTGTGTATATATATGTATTGTCTTGTTTCCATATATTTTTTTCTCTAATAATTACTAAGCTGAACAATATCATGTTTGTCTAACCTACGGTAATGCTAATACTCTGGAACCTTTAAAAATCTCGTGTATCTTTGAATGTTTATTAATCTCACCACTATCGGGAACATTTTATTTTTTATTTTTTTTTATTGCTTCTTTACTTACTATATTACTCTCACGACATTTACTTATAAGTAATGGTTTTATGATTTATAATCTTGTTAAATAGTTCGTAAGCTTCTGTGGATCAATTATCGAGTATAATAATTCATCAGATTTATCGTCGAATTACCTATTATTATTATTAATATTATTACTTATTATACTAATATATAAATATATATATATATATATATATATATATATTTGTGTACACCTACGCCGTGCCGCTTCAGCTATAATGTGTGTAATAAGGACGAAACACTTTTTAGCCACTTAGATGCCGTTCTACATGAATGTTCCACACGATGCGTAATGATATATTGTCATCTTACCCAATGACTTTTATTTTATTACTTTTATATTGGTAAATTTAGGTTTATAAGAAATTTGCAAATCTGATAACCGGCAAAGTGAGCCAATTGTATGTCACTTATGTATATATATATATATATATACATATATATATATATATATATATATATATATATATATATATATATATATATATATTTAACGAAGTAAAATAAAGTAGATTTTGCAACAAACAAGTCTGAGCATTTGACAGGGAAAACTGATTTTAAAGATCATGAAGTTGCGTTTCGGTTTCGACAAGTATATTTTGAACGCGTAATTTTTATACAATTACACATAAAATTTCTCACTGACGACATGCGAGAGATGCTGCTCGTGAATTTATTGTATTTTCTTGAGATGGGATGATAATGTCCGATTAATAATAATTATAAATGTATTAAATATTGGAGCAATCGCAAGCATTACCACATGTGCTTATCTACATTTTTCGATCTTTTCAAATAGTTTCATCAATTTTGATTGTGCAAATATCGACACACTTGACTGAAAGTAAATCTATATATATATAATCGTGCACACAGATGGGCAATCAAATAAACAAGTTTCTTAAATACCTTATAACTAAATGTTGGTATTTCCAAAAAGTATAGCAGATACAAAAAATACCTACCGCGACTACTTACGTACGGAAGTTAACACAAAGCTTAGGAGTATTGTTTAATCATAAAATGAACTTGAAAGTTGTAATTGACTCGCGGGGACAGAGTGGACTTGGACTATTCGATGAAAAGATGTCCAGTCTTCGTTTCTTTCAATCTCCAAAGACCTTTTATTTTCAATTTACCTGGTGCGCTTTTTTACTTTAATTATTTTTACTTACGATTTTATTTTGCGCATTATTCATAAAAACTTTAATTTTCTGAACTCAATTTTTTTTTTATTTCGTGGGCAACAGTCCTCGTGTTAATAATGATTAAATGTCTTATGATGAAATTTGTATTGTTACAAATGATCAGAACAGAATAAAAGTCCAGTATATATATATATATATAAAAAAAAAAAAAAAAAAAAAAAAAAAAAAAAAAAAAAAAAAAAAAATTAGTATTCTATATCGAAATTGATATTGTACGTGAATGCAATACTTAACATATTTTTTTGTTTTTTTTTTCTTCTTTTTTTTAAATCAAATAATTACCAAATATCCTCAGAAATAGAAATGAATTATATTATAGTTTACTATTTCATTAGAGAATTTAAAAAAAAAGCAAAAAATAAAATAAAAATTTAGATGGGCGCCGCCTTCCAACACAAATAAGGTTGCAAAAATTTTGTATTTACAAATAATTTTTGCACGATTACTTTGATATTGATTAAATAGAAAATGTAATGATAATTAAAGAAAATAAGGAAACAACAGTTTCTGAAGGATGATGCATGCAAATGATAAATATCAGCAACAACCAGACTGTACAATGTACGTTTGTATGAATGAAACCTCTTAAATCTTAAATACCAAAAACTTGTAGAGCTAGAGTCCCTGAACCTTTTTTCCTTAACCCAACAATCAATTTCAATGTAGAATTCTAATTAACAATTGCTTGATTTTTAACAAACTATTAATATCCAATTATTGTAAAAGAAAATAGAGCACAGGATATCATTATGATAAAGATCTCTTAAATAATTCTATTAAACGTGATAATAAAATATTATTAATTATTTTAGTAGAACTCTATACAATGTTATATTTACAAATTTATAAAAAAAAATTTATTATGTTAAATCCTTTTGACGAATAAATATTAAATAAATAAATGACTTTATATCGTTGACTAGTAGATTAATTTTGTAATTTAAGACTTTTGTAAGTATTGCCAATCAATTAGTACTGACAATTAAGGTATTTAGTTTGCGATCTTAAAAAAAAAAAATGGCTGTTGTATGCTGGATCTTACCACACATACAAACCTATCATATCAGGCAGGTTCAGGGAATATGCATGGAATAGTGAACGGCACTAGTTGCCGGCAGCAGCCACCATGCTGTACCAAGAACAAGATAAAAACTGCATTAATTCAAAACAGCCAAAATTTATGGTTATTTAATTTCTGTTACCATTATATGATTTTACAGGAAAGTGCTCCTGGGTAAGTGTATAGTAGAAGGACCCGTACTGTCTGGCTTATTTTTGTCGTTTAAGCTAATAAAAATGTATTCATTTCGACTATTATTCCCTAACCTTGTATGACACCATCTAGCTAAAAATAATACTAGTAGCCGAAGGACGCGATATTTAAAAAGATAAACTAAAGATAAACCTCTGATCAGAAATTTGACATATTATATTTGTACTTACAATGCATATCCCTCTCATGTTCATACTCAATAAAGGCGTACCCTCGAGGTTTTCCATTTATCGAATTGTGAATAACAACGATCTGCAGAAACGACATATTATTGCATAAGAGAGCAGATCTTCATCGGACGCCAAAATATATTTATATAATATAATAATCGTTACCTTCTTCACTGGACCATGAACTTCAAATTCTCTCCTCAATTTGGATTCCGATGTATCGTAGTTCTGAAACAATTAAGCATACAAATTAGTTTCTCTTTTTTCTCTCTCTAATTTTTACATGTAGCATTAAACAAACGAAGGCAGCATGAAATTGATATTTCTTACTATTCTGGCGACAAAAAGTGTTTTAAAGGGATCTGCAGTTACGTTAGGAATACCCGCAGGATCCCATACTGCAATTTCCTGCTCTAACTTATAAGCTACTTGTTCATTGCGTTCTCTTCTTCGACGCTCCAAACGTTCTTCGGTAGTCTCCACACGGACTGGTGGAGGCGTGTCCTTGGGATCCTGAGAGGCAGAATTAATTTTTCTTTAACCATCAAGTAGCACATTTTGCATAAGCATATTTAAGCAGGCATTTATCAAATGATTTAAAAGCGTGCAAATGTCAGGCAAGGTAGCATAAAATAACAAACGGAAGCGAAATTACCTCGAAGTTTTTGAGAAATAATCCGATGCCGATGTATCCAGCGCTCTTTTTTTCATGAGGTAGCTTAATAACCGGAGGTAAATAAGGTATAGGATCGCGAGGTGCAAAAAGCGCTAATAAATTGGGTGGTAAAAATTGCGTCATGTTTAATTACAATCTAGCCTCTAGTACACTAAAAATCGCACATTTTTCCGAATGACTTGGCACTAAAAATATTGGACCACGAAGCTAATTTCTTCATCAACACACGTACATACAAAATGGCGATTCGGTCTCCGAAGAACAATCGCCTTGAATTCGAATTTTGGATAGAAGGCCTCAACGACGGGGCGGCGCTGGGAATGGAAAACTTGAACAACGGACGCCTATGAGAATATAAATGGAAGAAAGGAAGAAAGAAAGAAAGAAAGCGCACCACCGGCCGGCCAATCGCAGCGAGATGTTGCGACCAAATTATCCGAATTGCCAATGTCGCGTTTGCCGCCCTAGCGGCCAAGTCCTCAAGCTCAACCGGAAACTTGTAATTCACGTGTATTTGTAAGTTATATTTGTCAAGTGCGTAAAGTATATCGCTTTACGCGCATCTCTGTAGACTCGAGCGCAAATACCTTTACCATTCTAAATAATTACGTTGGGCATCTGTTGGACGCTAATGCCCTTGTATTCTTCACGAGGGTATTTCAACGAAATACGCTGTGAATTCATCGAAAGCTAATTTGCTAAGATATCGAAATAAGATACCGAACACTTGCGGAATCATAAGATTTTCATTTTACAGCGAAATCGTTGTTAATATACACAGTGTTATTGTTATATAATATATAATAACATTATAATGTTAATATACATAATGCTAAAAAATTAATGTGTATAATTTTTGGAAGAAATCTTACAACTCGCGTATAGATCCGTAGTCTTATACTCTTTATAATATACGAGAGTAGTTAACGAATGTTATTTTAAAATATCCTTTAAAAATTATTATCTCCACATTATTAAATAAGACATTATTAAGCGATATTATTAAAACGATATTAAACAAGACTAGCACATTATTAAATAAGACCGCAAAATCGGTGAAAAGAGAAACAACAACAACAACAACAACAACAACAACAACAACAACAATGATGAATTAATCTTGAACAAAAATTGTCTAATTAAACGATGCAATTAAGAACGTTAAAAATTGTCTTGTCTTTCGTAATAAATTAAAGTAAATATAAAAATCGCAATCGTAATATTTTCTTCAGATATATATTATTTATGGCTCATTTAATACTAAACTTCATTACTTTACGGGAATTCGTATAATTTTGTTAATAAAGAGGAATGTTTCTTGACTCCCTTTTTACAGGCATAAACGAGTTACAGCTTAACTCGTAACGATAATGTGAATTATGGCCAATCGTTATATACTTTTGTATAATAATTCAGTATGTCGAAGCATTCTTGGCGGCAAATATGCGCATGTCTTTGGGCAAAGTGGCGGACATCTTGAAGAAGAGTATTATTAAATTCTAAATGCCTTACCGAAGTCGAATAGAAGATATATTATTACCTGTAAAATATTCGTATATTTTTAAAAATTTTATACACATGCGCGCTCGCACATTTACTTATATAGTCCATTATATTAAATTGTATATCGATTGATACAGACTATATATAATGCAAATTAAACATACGAATAGATCAATAACATTTTATTGAATATAATAGAAAACTTTTTACTATACATTTATAAGCGTATAAAATTCAAAATGAAGTGATACAAGGATTAATCATTACAATTAAAAAATTTTTTTTTCCTCTAAATCGTTCGTCAAATTTTTTTTTTTTTTTTTTTTCTCATCCACAATTTCTTACCCAACATGCCAATACAATTATTTAAAGTTTTCAATAGTTAAAACATAGCAAATGCACAGTTTGGCCTCGTGTTTACACATGGTATTGCAAAAAAAAAAAAAATATCGTAATACCTATTTAAAAAACGACGTATTATTTCTTATACAAAATAAAATTTATAGTATTATTTAATAAAAGTTTGTTTCATCATTCTATGGATTGTTAGAACATATATAAAATAAAAGAATAGAATGATTTGTGAAAGATAATAAAGATAATTAATACAGATGCATGCGTGTAATTTATATAGCAGTCGTTAAATAGAGGTGAAAGTGCGCGTCAATAGTTGTATAACGGAAGGCAAAAGTTTTAACGAAAAATAACAAAAGAGACTTGAAAGGATCGCGAGGAAGGGATTCCTAAGCGATTGAAGTTTTATAAACGGCATTGCTCGACACATGTATACTCGAAGCTAGGATTAGAATCACAGCGATAAATGTATATCGTACAGTCTACTTGGAACTTGAATAGTCATTGGCGAAGACGCGTGCGGTATATTTCTCCAGTTCTCGTCTATTCTAATTAAAGGCAGTGCGATAGTGGGAGTTTTGCGCTTCCTCCACAACAATGTCAACGTGCTGAAATTTACGGGGCGTCGGCAAGCATCTTTTCGCACGGCGTCACCTTCTTGATGTAATTGAAGATGGAGTCGAGGAGATTGGCAGGCGTTGGATCGTCGCAGCCCTCGAGCGCCGTCACTACGCACGTTTGCAACTTATCCATATTTCTGTGAAAATGCAATGAATTCAACAGTCAATACCTTAACAATAGCTCGTTTAGCGTTTCTTACTTCTCTGCCTTTCCAAATCTTTTGCAATTACTGTTTGCAATAATTTTGTCAATAAGACCGAGCCAAGCAGAACTGTTAATCGTTATTTCTCGCTTAATAATTTCTCGACTAATAATTGCTACTTTTGTAAATGACAAAACAACGCAAGCCCTTGTAGACTTATTTAACGTACGCACATGTATATACATATATATATATATATATATATATATATATATATAGTTATAAAAAAAAACATGGATTTAACTTGATTTTTGCGGTACCTAATAAAATTTAATATTCTATTAGGTAATTAATATATTAGTAATTTGAGTATTATATAATTTCTTTTTTAACGTTGCTGTTTCATCATATATATATATATATATATATATATATATATTTTTTTTTTTCCGTTAATTATAAACATAATATTTCATCGACACAAGTACAAGTTATAAAAGTAGATGATTCTTTTAGTTCAGAAATTTTATTCTTTAATTTAATAACACTTTTTAAGTATGCTTGAGATATGGTCAGAATTCTTTTTCTTTTATTTCCTTTCGTTCAACGTAGCCTTCATACGCCACATAATGTGCAAAGTAAATTCAAAATTATCATACTAATGTAACGATAAATAATAATTTTACAATATATTTACAATTACTATAAAACATCAATTGTAATTGTATAATTGATTTGTTTGATTTGATAATTTGTTTGATTATAATTGTAATTGTATGATTGATATTGTTTAATTCATTAATTGGTGTATCAACATTTGCTATATAATAAACATATTTAAATTGTAATAACTAAATGTCATAATCGTAATGTAAATCTTGTACAAGAAACTATTTTTATTTAATAAAATGATTTTTACCGGCAAGTTTTATTATCGAAAATGAGCGATGGAATATTCTTTATTTCAGATAAAGCAGCTAAGCCATTAGCCGGATTGATTGGTATTTTACTACTGTAACTTCCAGATGTAGCATTCGCACATTCCGTTATTACTTTTGCTTTATTTTGAAAGCATTCTGGTCCCTTAGCCGCAATGAACACTGAAAAAGTAACAAAAAAAAAAAGTCGTACAAACTATTATGTGCATGCATTATTGCTCGCGTGGTATGTGGTTGTTTAAAAAAGTATTTTGACACTCACAAGCAATACGGTCGCCTTCCTTGAAGCATATGAAATTGAGAATTTTGTCGGTTATATTGTGGACGATTTTCTTGTTCTCCTTCTCTTCGGGCTCGAGGCAGGGCTCGATCGCCGTGGTGAAGTCGGCCATGCAATTTTTCAGAATTGGCTTCTTACGGCAGTATTTCTTGAAAACCTCGTCCAGGTCGCCGGTAGGCCTCGCTTTGTCCATTTCCTCCTTAAGAATCGTGAAATTTACGAGATCCTTGATGCAGCCTAAGACCTCGACACCCGCCTTCTTTGCAATATCGTAAGAGCCCGGACCTCCGTTCTTCTCGCATTTTTTTTTTAAAATATTTTGAGCGTCGTCGAGTGGTAGCTCCGAGATATTCAGATTCTTCAGCTGAGGTATGTCTAGAACCTCGTTTACTTTAGATAAGGCCTCGTCCACGTTCGGGATGGTTTGACTGTGGGTGACGCACATGAGCGCCAGACCTGTAATTATGTTTACCTCGCTTATTCCTTACTTTCATGCTTTCAATGGGTATAGCCGTATTCGATTGAAAATTTATTGTGAAATTAAGAAGTTATCATGCCATTTCATGATCATTATCGTTTATAATTTAAAAACGTCATAGTTTTACTTTTTTTTATTTCATTTGATAAGCAAATCGAAAATTTTTATCGTTTAAGCGTTTGAAAGTGTATATTTGGTAAAAAGGTTGTAATAACAATGATTAATCAAAGCATAAAATTACGAGTTATTGAAATTTTATAAATGCAGTTAAAATTAAATTTATGTTTATATCATGACGTTGGTGTAATTTTGATAGAAAGATTATATATATATATATATATAAATATATATATATATGGATAAGTTATATATATATATGGATAAGTTATATATAAGGATATGTTTTTTTTTTTTTTTTTTTAAGACTTTCTTTTAAAAAGTCAATGCGTATGATATTGAAAAGTTAAGGTGTAAGAAAGAGTTAAGCAACGATAGCGTAGATGAGACGCAATGACTTTATATTTAATTAATCCTAATAATACTTTCGTCGTTATTTGAACAATACAATGTGTATAGACGCTAGTCATTTTGTTTGAGTAACCCAAGTTGCGTTTATTAATGGAAATATTTATTATACTACGTTTAATTTTCCATTCATTGGAAAATATGCCGTTTAATTTAGCTTATCGCTGGCTTTCACGTATCGACGGCGAAGCAATATTTAATATCATCGTCATAGTATAAACGTACACCAATGTAGAACATTAAGACCCCTATGATATGAAAATGGAGCAATTATGTGTATACATCAAACTTATTGGATCACATCCTAAAAATTAGTTGATATAACTTTGACTGATTAAATACGAATGCTAAAATTATTCAATTATTTTATTTTTCGATAATTGTAAAAAAAAATAATAAATAAATAAATAAATCAGCATTTAGTCTTGTTTCGGCTATTTTTTTATCAATCAATTTGCACAATAAAGATTTTTTATTAATAAACAGTAAAAAATATAAATTAATGACTAAGAGAAGATGTTAGGGTGAAATCTTCTTTTTAACGATAATAATAACCTATAATAAAAAACGTTGAGAATGCACAAATACATGCACAACTCACTTTGTCAGCAACATATGAATTTTAAATAGAATTTTCTGGCTATTTTTCTAACTTGACCAAATTGGATCTTAAAATGGTTAATTATATTTTAATGAGCTTTCGCTTTCGTTTCGTTAAAAAAAAAAAAAAAAAAAAAAAAAAAAAAAAAAAAAAAAAAAAACACCTATTTAGTCACATCTATTTAATTTTCTCTTTTATATAGATTATTATTAGCACATATACGAATCATAAAAATTTAGGGAAATTACTATGTATGTATATCGTTGTTTATTAAGTCAGTTGTAAATTAACATAACATAATAGTCTGATTGAAGCTTCGGTAAAGAGTTTGTCAATAATGTTCATTAAAAAAAGGTCAATTTAAATTTTTTAACGAGAATTCTAAAGTTTAAAAAGCCATTAGTCAAATATTTAGAAAAATAAAAAATCCCTAGCACTCGTTAAATATTTATTTAACAAACTTGCATATTGTATATATTCATTTAATATTTATAGAATAACTTTACCGATATACGTGCTTTTTGTTTATATATCCCAGTTTTTTTATTCAACCGTTTTCACATTTAAGACTTACTTGCATAATCTTGTATTATTTTATATATTTCAGATTTCTTGTCATTTATTTTACTCTTTAATAAAGTCGAGCGATTGTTCAAATTTATTGGAAAAATATTAAATAATATGTACTGTCAGATATTTTTAATATAAAGTTTGACTTTATGATAAATATTATCATAATAATGTTAATATTTTTAATAAAATATTGCAAATACTAACTGCATTACTTGTAAAATTAATTTTAATTCATAAATACTGGGCAAAATGTTTTGTTTGGAAATATCGGCCCAAAAGAAGAAATTATGTAAAAAAAAAAAAAACACTGTTTCTTCCTGGATGGTAACATGAAAATATTCATCCAATCGTTGTATGAATAACAAATCTTCTAATTTTCTTTCTTAATTTTATTTCATACTGAATTTTCCATTGACTTTGTTTTATTTCCTTATGTTTGAAAACTATTAAGATTAAACTTATATATATATATATATATATCTATATATATAATGATCTTATTAAAAAATTATGTATTAAAATCTTATTTTATAATTGATTTGAATTATAATCGAAGCATAAAATCACATCGGATTGCGTTAGTGAAGTAACTGTAAATTTTCTTAAAAATACTGTTTTAGTATCTTGAATCAGAATTTTATATTTAGATCATGACCTTGGTGTAATTTTGTCGAAAAAATTGTTTATACGTAACAATTTATTTATGTATATGTTAGATAATCTGCATGCATATTCTATTATGTATGAGTCGTAGAAAAGAACGAACGTTGCTCTATAGCAATGAAAAGTTAATTGTTATAATTTGGTATTGTTCGTAATTGTTTTGTATATCACATTAATGTATATCGTTAGAGAATACATATTACTTATACCAAATTATAGCTTTTTGCCAGCATTTATTTAATAATAGTACAAGTTAAAAACAATGATAAGCTAATAATTGGTTGTTCAGAAATTAAAATATTTGAACACGCGGAACGAACTTTGCCCTCTGGCTCCGAAAGCTTATCAAAGATTAATCGTGTGTCAGTGATAAAAATGCCAATGGATGTGGAATAATTGATAATGAAGCGAAAGCATTGATAAAATAGTTTTTATTTCAATCACATATATTACATTGAATTTGTTCAAGTAGTTATAAATAAATTGCAACATTAAAAGCTATTTGTTCCAGTTAATATTCGCTATGGGTCGGTAAGGATTTAATTGTATTAACGATAATTTAAAACGAGGGAAAATTAGGCCACTTATGTAATTAAAAGCAACAGATTCAGCTTTTTTAATATATATCCAAAGCTCATTGTAAATATATAATTTTACGATTTTCATAATATATGAATCCACTTTGGTCATTTAATATGTGGTAGATCTGTATAAATAAGATTTGGCTAACAAATAAAAAAGAAATAAATAGCTTTATTGGTCATGTGTGAGCCACGAATGAGAAATAACAAATAAGAAAGTGATAATTGTGTAAAATTTTAGTTGATGAGTCACGCGCATCCGCTTTGCGTATATAGATTCAAATTTTTCGCCAAAGCTCCGGCGGCGCTTTATTAAATGCTATTCGACCAACAATATAAACGAAAAGAAAATTTTATAGTCGTAAGTAGACGATATGATTGTTATTTCTCAAATGAATATTAAATTTTCAAATCACAACTTACCGAACAAAATGACGTGCGTTCTCATAACCATTGCTGGATATATAATTCAGTCTCCGATCAGCAATGACAATTCAACCTCACGTAATGGCTTTTACGTATTCTTTACGTAACTTAAGGGCTCACCACCTTAACTTAAAGATAATACTTAACGCTACGAGACGTTACCTTTCCCTCTCTCTCTCTCTCTCTCTCTCTCACACACACACACTCTCTCTCTCTCTCTCTCTCTCTCTCTCTCTCTCTCTCCCTCTTGAAATAATAGATATTTGTTATAAACGAGCTGGGCAGTGACGCTCGATTGCCGCTACTCTTTAAAGCGCGTGGCCGTTTATATAACCTCATGCTCGCGTTGCCGCTTTTTTGCCCCTCCTGTACTTACACTACGCGCTTTTCAACTTCAACGTATGTGACGCGTGCGCGCGCACTTTCCTTTACCCCTGGAGATTCGATGTGATTATGTGATCGTTAGCGTATAATATTAGGCTCCTCGGTTTGTTTTCAGCCGTCACATGAACCCGGGGTGAAATGTCGATATGCCATAGGGATTGACTCGCGCGAAATGAAAATAACCCTTGAACCGCGTGCATTGCCGAATCCATATCATTGAAATATAATTGGCAAGCTACTTCTGGCCACTACTTTCCTCTATTTATTTCAACTCTACAATAGACATTAATCGATAAGCGAGACTTCCGACTGTCACTTTATGTCCCGTTGTTCTAACGTCCAAGTAACGAGATTACGTTATATACCAAGCACCTAATAATCTATAGACCGTAATGCCACAAAGCGATGTAAGTCATAAATACGAAATACGAATTTAAAAAACTATATCAATTAATGATAAGTTATAAGGTTTAAATGAATAAAAGGAGCGTGGCGCAATGTATTTACTATTAAACGAAGTTTCTTTTTTCAATATTATAATTCATGCAATATCTATTGAATTGTGAAAATGTAGTTTTACATTACATAAAATTGAAAAACAAACAAAAAAAAAAAAAAAAAAAAACATATTTCGACTCCTCGATGTTAGAGTGATCGGTATCCTTGCTTATCAATAAGTATACAATTCTTATTTAAGAGCTCGAAGCTTTGGTTTCTTTCAAAATAACCGATAGGCTCATGTTCCACCTATCAGACGGATATATCGATTTTAAGGATCGTGGCTGGAAATCCATTCGGTGGCGACTCGAGCGACTTAAAGGTGCATAGTCATAGGTGTCATAGTCAATATAGTCTTCAAACGGCAAAATGAAACATATTCTCTGCATGATATTTTCATCGAACGGAAATCCATATTTTAATATAGTAATACTCTGAGTCACGTACATTGCCTTCATATCATTCTCAATATAGGCTCATCGACTTTATAAAAAGAAAAAGAAATATGTAGAATATATAGCGTAGATAATGTTTGAGCGAGTCATAGTATAGGCAATTGGCATTTTAGTTATGTTTGGATCGTCGTATATGGTAGGAGCGATGGCAATAGAAGCCATCTGCTCGCAGTTTAATTTTTATTCTCAATCAAAGCAGACGTTGAAATTAAATACAAAGTCAAATAATATCTTCTTCGCACGATCGCACACGATACGAGATGATCAGACTGTCGATATCGTGTACGAAGGGACGAA